GTCTAAGTTGGGGCCTCTTAGACTCCAAGCTCTCAACTTGGCCAAAGCGTAAAAGTCCTTCTTCCAAACAAAGGCCAAATGCAACTTTCAAATTCAAGGGGACAAATGTACAAAGTTTTATCATGGCTTGGTCAAGAAGAGAATGAAGAGGAATTATATCGCATCGATAACTCGTGAGGATGGAACATTAACCGGCTCTATGGAAGATGTGGCAAAGGAATTTATTCGATACTATGAAGGACTTTTGGGATCCGGGATACAAACGGAGGATATTGACCCTCTAATTCTTAGTTGGGGGCCAACACTTAGCCCCGACCAATGTAACTCCCTAATATCCCCGGTAACCGAAGGAGAGATCAAGATAACCCTAAGAGAAATTGAAGGAGGTAAGTCTCCGGGTCCCGATGGATATACCTCTACCTTCTTCTTGAAGAGTTGGGATGTCGTTGGCTAGGACCTCGTAGCGGCAATCAAAGAATTTTTCCGGTCCGGATCCATACTTACGCAATGGAATCACACCGGCATTACGCATGTCCCTAAGTCTTCCCACTCCTCTCGCGTCACGGACTTTAGGCCAATTGCGTGTTGCAACACGGTTTACAAGATATGCTCCAAAATCATTGCTAAGAGAATGAGTGAGGTCCTCGACTTCATTGTGGATGAAGCCCAAGCCGCATTCATGAAGGGAAGAAGTATGACGGACATTCACCTCATGCAACAACTACTCCGTCAATACTTGAGGAAAAGAGTCTCCCCGAGATGCCTAATTAAGATCGATCTCTGGAAAGCTTTTGACTCCGTCTCTTGGACATTCTTGAGACAAATGCTTGAGGGGTTGAGCTTTCCCCCAACATTCACTAAGTGGATTATGGAGTGCGTCACTACCCCGTCATATCCCCTATCCATTAATAGATGCCTCAAAGGACACTTCAAAGGAGCGCGTGGCCTAAGGCAAGGTGACCCTCTATCACCTTTCTTTTTTGTACTTTGCATGGAATATCTATCCCGGCTATTAAGTGCCACTCGGCGGAAGAACCGAGCTTTAAATTTCATCCAATGTGTGAGAAGCTCAAGATCTCCCACCTTGTCTTCGCCGATGACCTCATGCTCCTCTCTCGAGGCGACTCGGGGTCCATTCAATTGCTTATGAATTGCTTAAGGGATTTCAGAGCCAAATCGGGACTCCAATGAATGTGCTCAAATCTAACATATATATGGCCGGGGTCAAAGAACAAGACTGGGAGACAATCCTTGACGAAACTAGTATGCAAAGTGGGCCTATGCCATTCCGGTACCTCGGTATTCCTCTTACGGCGGATCGGATTACCGGTAGGCTTTTCGACGACATGATCAATCAAATAGAGAACCAATTGATTGGGTGGAGAAGCCAATCACTTTCGTACGCCGGTAGATTAGAACTCATCCGATCGATCATTCAAGGCATTGCTTGCTTTTGGATGGGCATCTTCCATTTGTCGGGCATAGTTCGAACTAAGGTCACGCAACTTTGTAGAAGATACTTATGGGGCTCCAAAAAAGCTCCCGTTGCTTGGGATACTGTATGCTTACCTCGGGCGGAGGGTGGATTGGGGCTCCGTAACTTGGAAGCGTGGAACCGAGCCCTTCTCATGAGGACCCTTTGGAATATCCAATCGAAGAAGGACTCTCTTTGGTACAAATGGATAAACAATGTCTACTTAAAGGAGAAATCGATTTGGGAGTGGCAAATTTCCAAAAATGACTCTCCCCTCTTCAAATCCATCTTTGATAGCCGGCTTAACTTGATCGAAAAAGTGGGTAGTGTGAGAGGTGCGGAAGGCCTCCTTCGGTTGTGGAGTCTTCAAGATAAACAAGATGGCACGAGCAAATGCTATGACTTCCTCCGACCTAAGGGAAGCGTCAAGCCATGGATCGGGGTTGTTTGGGGGAGTTGCAATACCCCCAAGCACTCATTTATCTTATGGCTCGAAGTGATGAAAAGGCTCCAAACTAAGGATCGACTTGAGTTCCTTAATGAGGATCCGACGTGCCCCCTTTGCGGTACTGCCATTGAAACCTCGAGTCATCTCTTCTTCGAGTGCTCGTTTAGCTCGGAGATTTGGGGTGCCATTCGTGTATGGATTAGCTTCTGTCACACGCCAACAACACTCAAAGGAGCCCTAAAGTGGACCAAAAAAGAGGGAAAAGGTACGACATGGAGAGCCAAATTGAAAAAAGCGGCGCTAGCGGCTACCGTATACTTTATATGGAATGCCCAGCATCGCTTGATCTTTGAAGGCGAAAACCAACCTCCAAGCCTCGTGATTCGCAAGGTAAAAACTCATGTCTATCGTACTATATTTGCCACCTACCCGAGAGTGCTTGCCGAATTTGAAAGTCGATGCCTTGGTCTTGATGTGTAAAATGTGATGTGCTTGGATTGATTGAGGATAAGTGCCTATGCACTTGGGCCATATTGTTGGATTTTATTGGGTTTCTACTTTGAGTGAGCTCCCAGTTTGTGGGTAAGCCCTCGGTTTTAGTATTTTCGAGTGAGGAGCCGACATGTGGCTACCCGCTTCGACTTGAAAGCCGTCTCGGTTGTATGAATTCTAGTTTTGATCAATACAAATTTATTTAACGATAAAAAAAAAGAAACTTAACTTTCAAGAACACCTCTCCAACTTTCAGCCCATACTTCAGTGCACAACTAATTGATTGGAGTATTACTCACATGTATCCACAAATGCAATTCGGAGAATCTTTGATGCTTCTCAGTCATTCCTTCTTACCATTCAACTAAGATAAGGTATTTGTTTTCAAATACCCAGTTTGTCCCTTTCATAACTTTTGCTTTGTCTTCGATGCTCCCAAACAAGAACTGAAAGAAATTTTTTCTCAGCTCGCGGACCTCCATTTGATTTTTGAGATGCCATATCGAGCCCATAGTTCTCCTTATTCCAATAAGGCTTGCCCTGCGGTCGCCTATAATCTTCCCAAATAAACTTCTTTTGCATTCTGAAGCACTGATTTTGATATCATCATCCTTGAGGGCAATGATCTTATTTTCGGACTCGGAGAGCTCAATGTTTTGAAGCCTACACCCCAAATCAACCGTATCCTGAAAAGCACTCGATTCTCCTGAAACATTGGATTCCATATTCTATCGCCAACCCTAACCCTAAATCGCACAAGCAACAAAGAACAATATAAAGAATACTTATACCACCCCTAGATGGAATTAACCTCCTCCCCAAGAGAATTAAGGACTCCCCTCATGAAGAATTCCAGCTCCCCTAAGAGAGAATTAAACTTTCATCATGTTCTCTACACTATCTTTCTTTCTCATATAATACTTTCTATCTCTCTCTCTCTCTCTCTCTCTCTCTCTCTCTCTCTATAT